TAATCCATAGCACTCCAGGGGAAAACAATGGAGATACAGGGCAGGAATTGTGTCTAACCCCCCACACCAGGGCAAAACACAAAGGGAGTGCAACAGAGCAGCAAGGGGAGCAAAGTTCCCAAGGAATCCCAAAAATAGACTTCAGGGAGCAGGGATTGGTACCTCATCAGACTCAATCCGAAAACAGATAGACCTGGAACTATTTATAGGCTTTCTCCACCTCCACCCCCGACCTTTGAGGCCATTCTATATAAGATAGGCAGGCAGGTAAATGATCCTGAGGAGAAAATAATGGGACTGATGGTTCTGGGGGGACATGGGAGAAAAGGAGGTGGGTAAAGGAAGGGAAGAGCCAACAAACACAGAGACAAGCAACAAGTGATCTAACATTGATGGCAAGAAGGGCAGAGAATACTTGGTGGCGCTTGATCAAGTGCAATATAGCCGAGAGGAATTACTGAAAGCCAAATGAAGGCTGACCATGATAGTGGGACAAGCAGAAAGTAAAAGGAAATAGAGGAAAGAACTAGGAGGTAAAGGACATTTATAGAGGTATAAATACAGGCACATACATATGTAAAAGTATTTACATATAACAAAAGAGACAGTACATATTATATGTTAAGTATTAAGGTAGCAGATGGACATTGGGCCTCTATTCAAGTCCTCCTTCAATGCAAGAACACTTTGTTCTAATAACCCAGCATTCTGTGATGCTCATCTTATTGACATGATCGCTGAAGACAAATGGGTGCATAAGAAAATGTGGTGAAGAAAGCTGATGGTGCCCAGCTATCAAAAGATATAGTGTCTGGTGTCTCAAAGGCTTAAAGATAAACAAGCAATCTTCTAGCTGGGAACCAACAAAGTGCCCATGAAGAAAGCACACAAGCCTGTGTGATCATGAGGTGGTCTACAGGATCAGGTATCAGGCATCAGAAGACCCAAAACAAACAATCGTATCAATGTGAACAAGGGGGGTCCGAGTGGAGACCCAAAGCCCATCTGTAGACAATTGGACATCCCTCACACAAGGGTCACAAGTAAGGGATGAGCCAGCCAGGGTGCAGGATAGCACTGAAAAAACACACACATTCCTCTAGTTCTTTAATGCTTCCCATCCCCCCACTATCATGACCCCAGTTCTATCTTACAAATCCAGCTAAACTAGAGCATGTACACAGGTACAGATAAGAGCTGGAAACACAGGGAACCCAGGAAAGATAAACCCCTCAGGAACAATAATGGGAGTAGTGATGCCATGAGGGTAGAGGGAAGGTAAGGGGAGAAAGGGGGAGCCAATCGCAATGATCAATGTACACCCACCCATTCAGGATGAAAATAATTGAAAACTATTTGAAATAATTGAAAAATTATTTGAATTGAAAAAATATGAAAAAAATGTATCAAGGGTTCATGAGGGTGTGAAGGTGGGGGAGAGAGGAAAAAATGAGGAGGTGATACCAAGGCCTCAAGCAGAAAGAAAATGTTTTGAAAAGAATGATGACAACATATGTACAAATGTGCTTGACACAAAGGATGCATGGATTGTTTTAAGAGCTGTAAGATCCCCCAATTAAATAATTTAAAAAAAATAAAAAGGACATAACAAATATCCTTCTTAAATTATGTTTGAGATTTGGTGTGGTAAACTGATGAGATAAGAATGGATGAGAACAACAAACGATCCTTGAACTAACTACAAGCCTTTCTTCCTTGTGTTTTGTTTTGGTTTTTGTCATTGGTTTGTTGTTGTTGTTGTTGTGTTGTACAGTGAACCCTCGTTTATCGCGGTTAATCGGTTCTAGACCCTACCGTGATAAATGAAATTCCGCGAAGTAGGATTCCTTATTTGTAAATCA